CTGCAATAAATATTCTTGCAGACACAGTAGTTTTCAATGTGCAAATATTATTTTACAATAGATTCTTAAGATTCAATTACTGGTCAATGGCTATATGTATTTGTATCTTGATAAATAACCTTCATAGAGGGTATACCATTTAATGTTCCATATAACAATGTGTGAGAGTGCATTTTCCAACCCCTTATCCAATACAGTTTGTTATCAAACATTTTGTTCTTTACCAATCTGGTAGATGAGAAATAATATATGATGGTAATTAAGATTTGTATTTGTTATTATCAATACAATTAAATTTTTATCACATATTTTAAAAACTTTGGTGTATCTTTTGTGAACAGTCTGTTCATATATTTTTCTGTCTTTTCCATTGGACTGTTGGTCATTGTTTTTTATTTATGAAATTATCGGGATTTGCTATATATTAAGGAGCTTAGCAACACATCATGGCAAATGAGAAATTATTTACCACTATTCTTGAATCTAAATTACACATATCTCCCCAAAGATTCATTACAACCTAAGATATTAAGATACCCCAAGCTTCCTTCCAAAACAGTTGAAAAATTTTTGCTCCCTTCTTCCACTGAAAAGCCACAAAGAGAGCATTTCCTGTGTGGCAGATTCTGGGCTAAGTCCTGGGGTTACAGACATCAAAAACAAAGACATACCTATAGAATAGTATTGATCTGCAAGCAACAGAAGGTACTGTGGAATTCTCATGACTCAGTGATGTTTCACATCTTTCAACCATTGACCACTTTATCTACTATGTGCTGAGGATACAGCAGTGAAACAGACTGAGGAAGAAGCTCTTCATTCATTGAACTTAGTCTAGTTCAAACTCCACATCACTTGGGAGAGTCCAAACTTTTATACATTCAGGGAAAGGAGCATATGCATTCATCAGGCAGGATGCAGGGCTGAGAGAAAAAGGAAAAGATAGGAACAGCTGAAATCTGCCTTGAGAAAGTACATGGGTAGTGATCTTCTGACAGAACAGTGGGCAAGAAGCCTCTCTCCAGTTCCCTCAAAAACAGAAGTACCTTCTTCCCTTTCATGTCTCTAGGAAGCAGTGGAAGAAACACATGAGGGAGTCGCTCTAGAGCCAGTGGGGCTGTCTGGCTTGAAATTGCCTTTCCTCTCCCTGTCTCCTGCCCTGATACCCTCATCCCAATAGACTCTGGGGCAAGAAATATGGTGTGTCAGGCCTAGAAAGGTCCCACAAAGTCAGGAAGGAGTTGGTTCAAGGTTACAAAAATATTATGGTATTAATCCTCTTCCATAAGAATGTAGTTGTTTTCCCTATTCCCAAGTTCAGGCCCCCACATATTTTGGTGAGAATATCATGGGAATGGGACACACCTACACAGAAGTATACTTTGATATTAATGTGTTTGGTAAGATTAATATTCTCTTTTCTGGCCAAGTTAAACCTGTAGTCTTAGTTTCCTAATATGTAACAAAAATGTGTTTGCTGTAATCTAAACCATGTGGTTAAAATGTACCCATTTTGATCCCCCCCAATATATATCTCTCTGTCCTCAGTTTTCCAATCATAATGTCTATAGTGTAGTAAGAGATCCAATCATAATCATAGCCTTCCCCCTGCCCTCCCCAATTTTAAATTAGTCAATTGCATAGACTGTAACCCCAAACTACTCCTAGCAGATCAAGGGGCAGTGCTGCCTTAGGGATTAAAAACTTGGGCAGACTTCTGGTTCAGTGTGCTTGCTTGCCAGACTTTTTTGGTAGTACACCCTTCTGCAGAGGTAAAATTTGCCTTGAGGAGTAACTTAGGAGTATGTGTCTGATTTCTTGAGGCACTCTAATATATCTAAGAATCTTCCATGCCTAACTTCAGGCCCCTATATATTTAGGTGAGGAGACTATCAAGGGAATAGGACATACTCACATAGAAGTATATTTTGATATTTATGTTCTCTCTGATTGCCTCTGGTTTCCGTATATGTTTATCCCACGTTATCTAAGACTATTTCAATACAAGAAATATGTTGGACAATAAAGGCTAAAGACTCAGGTAAGAGGTATAGGAAAAAACCAAGAGGAGGAATTGATATTGATCTGTGATGTCAGGAGAGAGAAGCTTTTCCAGACACCCCACTACGATCCCACACATTTCGTGTAGAAAATTAAGCGCTTGAAGGAGAGGCCAAGAGGGCTTTTCCTATACAGGTAACACAAAATGTGGAACAAATAAGAATTGATACTTTCATCTCAGTTTGGAGCCTTTCACTCCACCCCATCCCGCCCGCTTTTATAAAAATATCTATAGTCCCTCCTCTGACCCGCCCATTTGGTCAGGGTTTTGGAGAGGTGAGTTTGTAAACACTAAAACCATTTGATATCCGTCCGCCTCAGCAGGCCACAGCTGATTTCCTGACACCACAACCCGGAACCCATATGCATTTCAGTTTGGAGTGTGTGTGTGTGTGTGTGTGTGTGTGTGTGTGTGTGTGTGTGTGTGTATGTGTGTGTGTGTGTGTGTGTGTGTGTCTGTCCTTAAAAAGAGGAAACTAGAGTGGGCGGGGCGACAGTGGGTTGACACACGGAAAGCAGCGCTAGGAAATGGTTGGTATCACTCCGCTTCTCTAAGCCGGATCCCCTTAAACTACACCCTAGCTCCTCCCTTTGCCGATTTCAGTAATGGGGACGTGGCAGAACCTATTCTGCGGAGGAAAAGGTGAATGCTAATTAGTCGCTACCTCCGGGTTCCTGAGGAGCCCTGGGAACAGGAAAAAGAAGAGAATACCAGAAAGTTATAATAGTTTGCCAGTCACCGCCCTTTATCTGATAAAGCAAGTATCTCGTCATAAGTCCCAGGTGCCGAGTCAACCCCCAAACACAGTCGCCGCCATTGTTTCGGGTATTTGCCTGTCTGACTGTCCGTCCCTCCTCCTGTGTGGCACGGCACCGCTTGAAACAACGAAATAAGAAAATTGCCTCTGATCCAAGCAGAGCAGGTCAGTGATAAGGCTAGCATCGCTTGGGGGAAGTGAACATGGGTATCGGAGATGAGTGCGGAATGTGACCTGGCCTTGGGAGGAGGGCGGTGAGAGGCTTAGAGGGACTAGAGTAAAATAAGTTGGTCAGTTTTTTGCTAAGTTTCTAAACTCACCCTAATTCCGAATATATTTGGGAAGGGAAAGTAGTGTAGTCGCAGCTTCTAGCTGGGGAAACAAGTATGTAAGAGAAAGGGGCTGCTACTATTGATGGGGAGTGTTTTCTAAGGACTCCTGAGAGGGAGAGAACTTATAAATGTGTGAGGGTTTCATATCCTGTTTGCTTGACTGATCACTAATACACTCTCTTCATTAGTTTTTTGGTTGTGCATTATGCATTATCTGTGTAGATCTGTTGTTAAGTTTGCAGTACTCCACATTTGTGTAAATATCTGTAGGGGGCAGCAGACCTCAAGGATAGGGGAGAAGAAGAAGAAAATTGGCATGGCTTCTTTAGAGTGGGCATTACTTGAGGGTGCTAGACTACCAAGACTAGAGCAGGTAGCGATCTAGCATAACCTCCAGCTCTCCTATCTGCCAGCTTTCAAGATATGTCCTGCCCCACAACCATTATATTGCAGAAAATGATAGGCTTTGGGGGAGAGGAAGGAAATGTAAGAATTTATATAAGAAATGTGAAAATTATATTTTCCATTGTTTTCCAAGTTTCCGTAGCTTGTTTGGGTATTTCATTCCTACTAACACCACTAATACCTTGCAGGAATGTTTGAGTTGCCTCTGCATGGAAATTGTCAGATTTTGAGAATGGAGCAGAGGAACTTGGAGATGTGGGAGTGGGGGAAAAAATGAGACAGAAAATGTTTGCCAAACAGGTACCTGTATCCAAAAAGCATATATGCCCTAGGTGCTAAAGTACTGGTCTCTACCAAAGACTCAGTGTTCTTGGTCTCCTTTGCTCAATTTATTTGTCTCTGTGTTTGTGGATCTCTGTGGGTAGATATGTTCCTAGGTCTGTAGACCTAAAGTTTTTGTGAAGGTTTGAAAATTAACCCAACATGAAGCTAGGAAATATTGAAGAAAATCTACCTGTATCTTTTAAGGTTGGTATGAGGTTACAGGGATAGGAATGACTGAGGCTAGAGAATCTCATCTATTTTTTGTCACTTTATCAATGACTCCTGTCTGCTCTCCTCTTTTCAGCCTAGTTGAAATTCTTTGTATACTTTGGATTTACAGAATGCAAAGGCTTGTCCTGTTTTCATGCTTCATACTGCGATCCAGTTCTAAGCTAGGCAAGTTCCAGAGCAATCATGGGAAAGGGAAAATGTGGGCAATAGGGAGGAGGAGGAACAGCTCTGAAGCAGGAAATGGTGGAAGAAAACATGAGACAGAGTGTATCTAGAAAGACAAGACTAAGGGCCAGGGACCAAGGTCTGTCTACCAAGAGGTCAGTTTCCATCTCCTCCTGTTTGTCTATTTGTTTTTATGTCTGCCTGTAGGTATGCTCTAGGCTAATCACCATTGGAAGCAAGCAATTGAAGTGAAAAATTATTCCTGAAGAGTGAGATTGTATGAGTGTGGGGACTGCTTGGGTATTTTTGTAGTACAGGGTGGTGGAGATCTGCCTCCAGCAGGGGTCAGGATCCAGCCTAAGCATCCCTTAGCCTATCTCACTCCCATCCAGGTTCCCTGCCCTCCATACTCTTGTTTGTTACCTGGAAAGGATATTGGTAGCACTTGGAGGTATAGGGAGAGGGTGAAATGACATTTATCTACTTTTCCCACACATCACTGAATTTCCATACTTTCATATCTCTGTGTTCTAATCAGCGTGAGGAGAAAAACTGGAAGAGACTTAAAGCCCCATTTCCTTCCTCCACTCCTAGGTCCAACTTCAATGGCAGATCTGGTGTCCTTGGAGTGGCTGAAGACCACCACCCTCTACAGGGATGCTCCCAGGCCCAGTCATCCTTCCTTACCTTGAGTGAGCTTCCTCAGCATGTTTATATCATTGGCAGAACCTGTAGTTGGAAAGGGGACTGAGTGACTGCTGGACTTTGTATGAAAACACCAACTTGGGACAGACCTTCAGTCAAGGCTGAGACAGGGGTCCGGTGGGGTCTTTAAAGAGTTTTGCCTTTAACTTGGATCATGATTGGCTCACAGGCTAGAGCAAGAGATAGAGAAGAGGCTGAGGATAGCCTGAAAGCTCAAATCAGTGGCCCTGAGAATGCTAGAATGAAGACGCAGCCCAAGGCAGTGGTTGAGGCAGAACCAAAAGCAGAATTAGTAACCCAGGCCAAAGCTGGTGATGGAGCAATAGCCAGGACTCAAACAGTGACCTACACTGAGCCTGTGGCTGTGACAAGGGAAGCAAGCAAAACGAAAGATATGACTAATACTAGTCTCACAGCTGAGACTAAGGCAGAACTCCTGGCAGAGCCTGGTATAGTGCCTCAAACCAAGTCAAAGGCCACCCCTGTTTCTAGGGTTAGTTTGGTAACTAACTCTGAGGTAAAAGATTGTGCAGACAGTGAGGCAAACATCAAGTCTTCTGCCAAGGCTGATGATAAGGCCAATATTGGGTTTAGGCCTGAGATAAAGGAAGAAACCAGCAACAAGTCCAGGGCTGGGAACAAAACTGGTATTGAGATCAAGTTCACTGATGAGGATGAAGAAAATGTCTGCTCCTGGTTCTGGAATGGAGAAGAGCCTAGTGTAGGATCTTGGTTCTGGCCTAAAGAAGAAACCCCTCCTCAAGTTTATAAACCCCCACCTAAGATACAGGAAGAGCCCAAGCCCACATACAGCCCCAAACTTACTACAAAACAAAAAGCAAAAGCCTGGTTAAGGGCCAGGTATATTGTCCTAGTCCCAGTTGAGGGAGGGGAACCAACATTGCCTCCAGAAGGCAACTGGACCTTGGTTGCAACCTTGATTGAAACTCCTCTGGGGATTCGGCCTCTGACCAAGATTCCACCTTATAATGGGCCTTACTTCCAGACCTTAGCTGAGATCAAAAAACAGATAAGGCAGAGGGAAAAATATGGGCCTAATCCAAAGGCCTGCCGCTGCAAATCACGTACCTTTAGTTTAGAGCCTAAAGAATTTGATAAACTTGTTGACCTACTTAAGTTAACTAAGGATCCTTTCATTCATGAAATAGCTACTATGGTAATGGGTATCAGTCCTGCTTACCCATTTACTCAAGATATAATTCATGATGTTGGTATTACTGTTATGATTGAAAACTTGGTCAATAATCCCAATGTTAAAGAACACCCTAAAGCTTTAAATATGGTAAATGAAACCTCTGAGTCTTCTGAAGAACCAAAAATGGAAGAATCATATATACATCAAATTTGTAAGGACATAATCTGTTATCCTTTGAATTCCCCTGTGCAACTGGCTGGACTGAAATTATTGGTGCAATTGAGTGTGAAATTTGAGAATCACCACATGATTGCCAGTTATATTCTAGAGTTCCTCACATTATTGAACAAAGGAAGTGTCAAAACCAAGTTTTATGCTTTAAAAGTGTTTTTGTGCTTGTCTAAAAATCAAGCCAATACAAGAGAACTGATAAGTGCCGAAGTACTATCATCACTGGTTGCGCTCTTTAACAAGAATGAGTCAAAGGCCAATGTTCTTTGTATCATTGAAATATTTGAGAATATAAATTTCCAATTCAAAAAAAGGGCAAAGCTGTTTACTAAGGAAAAGTTCACTAAATCTGAACTTATTTCCATATTCCAGGAAGCAAAAGGGTTTGGTCAGAAACTCCAAGACTTAGCAGAGCACAGTGATCCTGAGGTGAGAGATAAAGTTATACGATTAATACTCAAACTCTGAATAGTCATATGTTTTCACAAAGCCTTGAACATATTTTTTTGCTTTTGGAATATGAAACCAATGCATATTATAATTATAAATTCAATACTTATGTTCTCTGTGTTGATTGTTGCAGTTTTAAGGATACCAGCTAATCTTGCAGGCTTGAACATTTGCTTATTTTTATTGTGCTATAAAATATAAATTGAGATATTTTTAGTATTTCTGCAACATGACCTGATAATGATCATATTCATCCTGAATAAGCTACAAATCTGTTCATTGACAAAAGTGTATCCTTTTGAGATTTCACTTACATGTTGTTAATAAAGTTGCATGCTAAACTGGTAAAAACATTGTCCTAGTTCTTCAGTTGAAATGTAGTCAGAGGGATAAAGCACAAACAACAAAAAGATGGTGAAGAGATGGTGTCTGTGTCAGTTTATCTGTAGAGGGTTCACAAAGAAAAATAAGTTCACTGGCAGATCCTTTAGTGCCAACATGTTCAAGGAGTAGAATCACTCCAGAAGCAAGGGGATAGGACCGTACTACTACCTGTCTGGTTTCTGGCTGACAGTGCACCAAGAAATGAAGCTGAAGCCCTATCCAGGCAGCCCTAAGGAAGCAGAAGAGGACAGACTGAGGAGAAAGGGATCACAGATTATTTCATTCCATTGAATCCCAGATCTTGTGCTTGGACTTTGGTATAGGATATCTATCAGGACACCATGATGCTTTTTAACCCCCTTGAGTATTCATGGTTCTCACCCCCATTCAGAAAAACCATGAGTGACTATGTAGGAAGTGTGGTTCTGAAGGGATCCAACCCTACTGTGTTCTCATCAGCATTCTCCCCATCAGGGGTACTAGATTTAGTGTTTCCTCTGAGGTTCCCTCCCCCTGATATCCTGGACCTAAGAGGAGGGTCTGGGGTCCACCTATAGAAACTGCTTCATAATCAGTCTCATCTGTCTTACCTTGGTGACTATTAACTCATTGTTGGTTTTGTTTTATGGACATGCTTTGGAATTGGTAATTTGTACCTATTCTTGATGGCAGATCCTTGTTTGTGCTGATGCTTCTTGAAGGACAATTATATGTATGACACAACCATGGGATACCAAAATCCCTTAGGAGTGTATATTTTGTAAGAAATTAATTCCCTAATTTCACTGTTCTCTTTGCACAGTTTACAGAGTTGAAGCCATATTGTCTATATCACTTCAACCTCTCCTGTTTATTATTAACAAAAGCTAGGTTCTGGGCAGGGGTTTGTGGTATAGAATGACAGTATAGTTTGGGATTTGGGGTCACTTCTTCCTCTCCTGTTCCTCCCAAATTCATATGCTGTTATGATTCTCTTTAAAATTACTGCCTAGCAGTGGGAATAGTAGATAGTAGGATCTGAATTGAAATGCTGGTATTTCTGTTGATCTTCCTTTCTCTGACTTTGCATGTATTTGGGGGAATGCCTAAACTGAAAATGTCAACATGGAATATACCATTGGTTTAACATCTATCCCTAGTTTAATTTCTATTATGGTCAGGTGTGACTCTTATCTTTCATACATGTAAGAGTTATAAATGAAGAACAATTGGCCTTACCTTTATATTGAGGGGCAAAAGCAGAGTAGGTTTTGTGTATTGTGCAGCTTCAATTTAGATGATTTTTGAAGTTCTTTATAACTTGTTCTTTAATCCGCAGAGCTCCCCTAGCCTATAATACCAGCTGTGGTGGGCACTGCTTTCAGTATTGGAGATCTTCACAATACAAATGGACCAGACTCTTTGGAAATATTCTGTGTCTCAAGTGCCCTGTGAAGCACACACTTAATCAGTTGATGGCTATGGAATTTTCCAATATCAGCTAAAGAGAAGGGTGAGTGTGAGATGTATGTGTATTTGTGTCAAAGCAAAAAGTTGATGGTCTCCCCTTGGGTAGGAATTGTGAGAAGTAGAATCATCATCCAAATTGTTCCTGAGGTATCATCTGTTGATGTACACTTAGATTATTTCCACTTTTTGCCTATTATGAATAATGATGCAATGAACATAAAATACAAGTATCTGTTGAAGTCCCTAATTTCAAATATTTTGAGTATATACCTAGAAGTAGAATTGCTGGGATCTATAATTATGTGTTTGGCTTTTTGAAGAATTGCCACCTTTTTGAAGAATGGCGGCTCTGTTTTACACCACCATCATTTTACATCATAAATGGTTATGATTTATCTACACCCTTTTTGATGTTTGTTATTTTCTATTAATTTCTTTAAATTTATTTTTTAACATGATACTTAGAACTATACAAAATTTTACATATTGGGACTGGGGTTATGGCTCAGTGGTAGCATGTGTGAGGCACAGGGTTCAGTTCTCAGCACCACATAAATGAATAAAATAAATGAATAAAATAAAGGTCCATCAACAACTAAAAAAAATTTTAAAATTCACATATTAATGAATAACATAGTCTTTTAATACATGTATAGATTTTATGGTGCTCAAGTCAGATTAAACATATCCATCTCCTCAGATACTTACCATTTCTAATATACTGTGCATATCAACCTCTTATGTATAGTTTGCAAAAATTTCCTCCCATTCTGAAGGCTGCCTCTTTACTCTGTTGACTCTTTCCTTTGCTGTGCAGAAGCTTTTTAGTTTGTTGTAATACCATTTGTCAGTTTTTGCTTTTATTTCTTGTGCTTTTGGGGTGCTTGCTCATTCCAGTGTTCTGCAGTGTTTCTTCTGTGTTTTCTTTTAGTTGTTTCATGGTTTAAGGGCTTATATTTATGTCTTTAATCTATTTTGAGTTGAGTTTTATAACTGGTAAGAAATTATCCTGTATATGAATATCCAATTTTCTCAGCACCATTTATTAGAAAACTGTCCTTTTCCCAGTACTTGTTATTAGCACCTTTGCTGAAAATCAGTTGGTTATAGATACATGGATTTACTTCTAGGGGTCTGTATTCTTTTCCATTGATGTATGCATCTAACTTTATGCCAACACCATGCTGTTGTGATTACTACAGCTTTGTAGTATGTTTTGAAGTCAGGTACTATAGTGCCTCTTGCTCTGTTCTTTTTTGTTCAAGATGGCTTTGGCTATTTGGCATTTTTGGAGAAGGATTTACATATAAATTTTAGGATTTTTCTAGTTTTGTAAAGGATGTTAATGCTATTTTGATAAAGCTTGCATTGGATCTGTAATTGCTTTGGGTTGTGTGGACATTTTAATGATATAGAATCTTCCAATCCATGAACATAGGAGGTCTTTCCACAGCTTTTGTTCTCTTCAGTTTTTTATCAGTGTTTTATAATTCTCATTTTAGAGATCTTTCATCTCTTAATTTACATTTCTTCCTAGGTATTTTATTTTGTGTGTGTGTGGCTGTAGTAAATAAGATTGTTTTCTTGATTTCTATTTCAAATGGTTTACTATTGGCTTATAGCAATGCTATTGACTTTCATGTGTTGATTTGTATCCTACAACTCTGCTGTAGGATTAGGGTTGGAGTTAGGGTTAGGGTTAGGGTTGGGGTCAGGGTCAGGGTTAGGGTTTAGGGTTAGTTCTAATAGATTTTGGTGGACTTTTGGATTTTCCATATATATGATCGTCATCTGCAAACACTGACAATTTGACAATTTCTTTTCCAATTTGAATATCCTTTCTTCCTTTCTGTGGCCTGATTACTGTGGCTAGGACTTACAGTATTGTGTTGAGTACAAGTGTTGAAAGTGGGCATCCTTGTCTTGCTCAAGAGAAAAGAGAAAGCTTTCAGTTTTTCCACAATTAGTATAATGTTGTTGCCTTATTATAAATGACCTTTATTATATGTTTCTATACCTAGTTTGTTCAGTGTTCTTATTGTGAAGGGATGTTGAATTTTATCAGATGCCTTTTCTAAAAATATTGAGAGGATTGTATAGTTTATTTTCCTTAATTTTGTCAGTGCAGTATATCTGTTTACTGATTTGCATATATTGAAACAACTTTGCATCCTTGGGATGAATCCTCTAGATCATGGTGAATAATAATCCTTTTAATGTGCTGTTGAATTCAGTTTGCTAGTATTTGTTGAGGATTTTTGCATCTATGTTAATCAAGGATATTGGTCTGTAATTTTCTTTTTTGTTGTTGTGTCCTTAGCTGGTTTTGATGTTAGGGTAATGGCTGGTCTCATAGAACATGTTTGGAAGAATTTGTTCTACTTTTATTTTTCGAAATAACCTAAAGTAAATTGGCATTACATTTGAAAGGTTCTTGCTTAGCATCTGTATGGTCATCTTAAGTGAGAGCTGCCATTTTAAGAAAAATTTTTGCTGTCCCACCCAAGGGTCTTTCTGAGAAAGGCTCACCACTCCCTCATACCAACCCACTCTTAACCACTGCATTTGGACCTACCCGGCTCTAATCCCTGAGCCTGCCTCATAAAAGTCCCAAACTCCAAGCCTGTTTTGCTTCTCTTGGTCTCTGGAGAGATGTGCCTTTATTTGTCAGCTCTGACAAATAAACTCTGATGTATCTCTATCCGGTGTCCATCTTTCATTTCTTTCTCACCTGTCTCCTGATTGCTCACTTTCCTTTCAACATCTTCTTTACATATTTGATAAAATTCAGAAGTGAAGTCATCTGGTCCTGGACTTTTCTTTAATGGGAGGCTTTTTATTACTGATTTATTCTCAGTACTTGTTATTGGTGTGTTCATGTTTTCTCTTTCTTCATGATACATTCTTGGAAAATTGTATGTCTAAGAGTCTGTCCATTTCTTCTGTTAGCATATTGTTCTTTGTAATAATCTCTAATAATAATTTATATTCCTGTGATATTAGATATAATGTCAACCTTTTCATGTTTGGTTTATTTTTGAGTGTTTTCTCTCTTCTTCTTAGTCTAGTTAAAGGCTTTTCTATTTTATCTTTTCAAATAACCAGCTTTTATTTTGTTGATCTTCTGTATTATTCTTTATGGGAGGTGTAGCACTGGGGATTGAACCCAGGGGTGCTCTGTCACTGAGCTACATCACTAGCACTTTTTATTTTTATTTTGAGACAGGTTGACATTGAGCTTGCTATCCTGCTTCACATCTGGAAAATCTTTTTTGTATTTTTATGTTTTTGTTTATTTTATTTCTGCTCTGACATTTATAATTTCTCTTCTTCTAATTTTAGGCTTGGTTCTTGTTTTTCTAGTTTCTTGAGATGCAAAATCTTTTTGC